TTTAGCATTTCATATCAATGTCAAAAATGCTTCTAAATCATCACATTTGCACACATCTTTTCAGTTTGAGATTTTTTTTTTTTTTACTTTTTTGTGTGGCGCTGCATTATTTAGTTGACTCTGTTTTTGTGTTTCTTTCTGGTTTTTCCCGCTGTCAATGGAGTAGTCCGGCGAAACGACAAAGAAAGCTGATCCTGATTGGTCAGGAATGTTGGATTTTTAACACAGCGACGCAATAGCACTGTAGGTAATGCTATCGCCTCACAGCCAGAAGGTCGCTGGTTCGAGCCTTGGCTGGGTCAGTTGGCGTTTCTGTTTGGAGTTTGCATGTTCTCTCTGCGTTCGCGTGGGTTTCCTCCAGGTGCTCCGGTTTCCCCCACAGTCCCAAGACATCTGGTAAAGGTGAATTGGGTATGCTAAAATAGTCTGTAGTGTATGAGTGTGAATAAGTGTGTATGGATGTTTCCCAGAGATGGGTTGCGGCTGAAAGGGCATCCGCTGTGTAAAAACGTGCTGCATAAGTTGGCGGTTCATTCTGCTGTGGTGACCCTAGATTAATAAAGGGAATGAGCCGACAAGAAAGTTAATGAATGAATGAATATCCCTTTTACACACACATACACACATGCTAATATGTTAAAATGTCAATCACTCATCATTTAGAGAAGATCAGTGTAACCTCATTATGTTCTATAACTTTCCTGGTCTTATCAGGTCTGTTTAGAAAAAGCTCATTTATTTTAAATTACCTGAGACCCGAGGCCGCCAATACGTGACATGATGTTTTTGCATGAGTGCTTTAGTGATTCGCATTGTTTTAATTAAGATTTGATTTAGATATCTGTTAGTGATGTATTGTATACCACTATCAGAGCAGAATGTAAAAGGCTGATATATTCACATTCACTGGTTATTTCTTATTGCCCCTCTTGTCCCAAAATATTTATTTCTTAGAGGAGAAGCGTCAGGAAGGGCAAATGCTGCAGCGCTGCGGTATGCATAGCAATAGCGTACTGATAAGGGCAGTCAACTAGGCTATTGACATTGATCCTGACACTCTCAGACGCCCCTCCTTTAGCTTTTATCCTGTTTCTGAAGAGGCTGATCAAGCTTGATCTGAGGCAGAGCGAACGAGCGAGGAGTTCAGCCGGTCTGTGAAGCCCCGTGTGTGCTGCATTTTCTGATCCAGAACTGTCCGCAAATAATTGGAAGGAAGTACGAGGCATTTTGGACAGATGCTGTCTGTTGCAGTGCTCAAATCTGTGAAGACTTAACTAAACACAGCGCCTCGAGGAGACATTCGTTCTGCAGAGCGCCATCAGATGACTCACTTGGGATGGAGCCTTCAAATGCCGGGTTATTAAACCAAATTCCTCTCTTTCGTTTTTCATTCTTTTGATATCCAAGAGAGGACAAAAGTGGATGAGAAAGAGTCTGATTATGCCATAAATCCAAAAAAATACCAACCTGTGTGTACCATAAAAAGTTATTATGTTAGTAAATCTTAGGAGGCTTCACTAAGTTTGTCATTATATCGATTCACCGGCACATCTTTCAGATCACAGCCTCTTTTTTTCATGTTTTCATGTAATTAGGGAAAGGTACTATATCTATTTTTGGAAAATAACGCAAGTGCAGTAATTAAGCAGAGGAAATATATTCAGATATACATATTCAACTTTTGAGTTCAATTTCACACATTTATTTTCTTTCATTGTTTATTTGAGAAATACAATATGAGAGACTGTTTTAAATGGAAATACTTCAACATTAAGGACAAAGTTCACCCAAAGATTTTATTTAAAAAAATTAAAATGGTTGTTTTATGGTTGAAGTTGAAGATCTTGTTGTGGTGAGTTGCTGAACTGATGATGTTTGCACTCTTTTTGTATGAATTAGTCTAATGGGGTAATTGCACACAGACTTTCAATTTTAGCCAGCCAGCTTCAGCGCTTCCAGTGAACTCTTTCCATTATAGAGTTGAGTTTAAGATCTGATTTCTTTACAAATCAGTGATATTCACTGTCTGATAGATATATGAAATAAAGTGGATCCTTAGTACAGACAAGAAGCCCTGCATTAAATTCCATTTACCCCACAATGTCTTTAAAATAGAACAGTTTATTTTACCCCAGTATTTTTATTGACGTTTTTGCCACCGCCAGCTGATCCTGACAGCACTATCGGTTACACAGTCTTTCATCTCTTTTTATGCTTGAACAATTAAATGGATGCGTCCATATAACTGAATCTATTGTCATTACATTACAACATCGATGCTGTAAAAGAAACTTTATAAATTTGAAAATAGTCACATTAAGCTTTCACTGGAAGTTTATCATTTGCTAGCTGTGCATATATTTGTTAGTGTATTTTTGTTGAAAGTGTCACATGAAAGCAAGCAATTGTGTCATAATTTACTCTCCCCTTACTTGCTCCAATCATATTTGTATATTTTTCTTCTGTTGAACACAAGAGAAATATTTGAAAGAAATAAACCTATAACCATTGACTCCTGTATAGTGTTTGTTTTTCCTACTATGGATGTCAATGGTCTTCGAATGATCTTGTTTTGGGTTCTACAGCAGAATGAAACTTGTCATGAAAGTTTATAACCGGTTCAGGGGGATTAAATAGTGAGTACATTTAAATTTTGGGGTGAACTATCTCTTAATTTTATTATAATATGTCTTGAGCAGCAAACCAGAATATTATAAACATACCTGAATCATTATGTTACACTAAAATGATGCTGAAGGGCGACACGGTTGGTCAGTGGTTAACACTGTTGGCATTTCTGTGTGGAGGCTGCATGTTCTCTTCATGTTTGTGTGGGTTTCCTCCGGGTGCTCCAGTTTCCCCTACAGTCCAAAAACATGCGCTATAGGTGAATTGAATAGACTAACTTGGCCAAAGGGTATGTGTGTGAATGAGTGCATATGAATGTTTCCAGTACTGGGTTGCAGCTGGAAGAGCATCCACTGAGTAAAGCAAATGCTGGATAAGTTGGAAGTTCATTGTGCTGTGTAGACCCCTGATGAATAAAGGGACTAAGCTAAAGGGAAATTAATGAATGAATTAAAATGATGCTGAAAATGCAGTTTTGCCATTATTCAAAAAAAGTTATTTCAAATTTGAATGATACTGTTTATAGTTTTCTTGTGGTTAGAATTCATAAAAGCAACAATAGTATCAGGGACTCTCTCACCATCTAAACCATGGTTTATTAAAAGTAGTATTCTATTACTGATTACAAGTGCCATAATTAAAATTTAGTCTGTAATGTAATCTGACTCTGACATTGAGGCCCCGTTTACACTACGTTTAAAACGGTGTTTTATAATGAAAACAATCCGCGTCTACACTAGCGTTTCAACCTGCACGGCCCTCCGTCCACACCAAACCACTGAAATCGCACATCACATGACCACACACAGACACTGGCATGCGCTGCAGCCTATCCAGCCAGATGAGAGCTGTGCTCGTCTGAGTGTTCATCAAGGATCTACCCCTGGATCCAATCTCACTATATTTGCTAAACGAGATATTTAATTCATCTTGCTGTCTATATCTAACGACATATTCCCCGAATTTAGTCTTTTGAATCTATTACTTGTTCTAAGGTAACGTGTTTTGGCTGAGCGCAAAGATAAGTTAATAATTAATATAACCATGTACATTCCGTATATTGACTGATTGCTTGCCTTTGTTTCCTATAATGTATACATTTATTGTACGTTATACTTTTATAATGGCCATTATTGATTATCAAAACTGATATTCAGCAAAAGAGAGGGTATGTTTTTTTTTCTTCGTATTTTCAATGAAGATGAAAGAAGGTAGTGTTATAGGCTCCATTTTGTTATAAATATGATACAGTAAAGATGAAGCTTAAATAAATATGCAGCATGATGCCTCAACATTTCTGCTGTCTGTTAAGTTGTTAATATCAAAATGAAAATAGCAGTCCCTCATATCATGTTTTCATTTTATTGTTAAGATAGTGAAACAATGTAGCCAGGGTGATGCGAATGAGGTTATAAAATACACTGTTTCCTTTGAAAATTTACCAGACGTATCCTCGGGAGTTTGTTTTCCATATCAGACTTTCCATATCAAACTTGCAAAGTCTGAAATTACAAGGAGAGGATGCAGGACTGAACTGTGTGTAGGCTAATATTGAGGAAAAACCCCAATCAGAGAGGCGAATGTCTGCAGCACCGCCTCCATTTTTAGATGTCTCCGTTTTAAACCATCCACACTGAGACGGAGCACGACAAAATGGACGCTCCATTTTGGACGCTCGTAAACTCCGGCGTAGTGTGGACAGATGGTTTAACCGTAGCAAAACTAAATTAAATCAGAAATAAATTTCATATAGCTTCAAAGATAGCTCTTTTTAGAAATTTGCACTCAAAACCTTTAAATGCCTATTCTATTATAAACTTTCAGAGCTAAATGTAATGACGCATGTTAAAATTGTTTAGAAAGGAAAGTCAAAAAGGAATCAATAAATAATCTGCTTTCATTGCATACAATTTGCAATCTATAACTGCAATCTGATTTTAAAATGTAGCCTAATTACATGGACAATTTTAGTTTATGTAAACCAGATTGCATGTACCCAGCACTGATAATAAATATGGTAAAGGAACAAATGTTAATTTAATTTCAAGCCAATTCTTTGAGTGGCACCATTCTGCTAGACATGAAATATTTATTGTTTTATCCTAAGTGACTTACAAAAGAAAATTTGATTCTGGCCAGAACAGTGAGTGAGTGGAGAGAGTTCAGGAAGAGTATGACGTGGGTAAAATATAGTTCCTGACACACCATTGCACAGGGTTTTTTTTATTTATTTTTATCTATTTAAACATAAATGAACCCTTATGTAAGATGTAATTCACATAAAACTGTTTTCTGACCCCGTGTACAGCTAGTTTTCTCAGTGCTGTTTGCAGTGTTACTAATGTGTTTGGGTTTGCTTGTATGTCCCTCAGGAGCAGTGAGAGCGTCCAGCATCTTCCCCATCATGAGCGTCGGGCTCCTGTTCATGGGAGGTTTGTGTGTGGCTGCTAGCGAATTTTACAGGAGCAGACACAATGTCATCCTCAGTGCCGGAATCTTCTTTGTCTCTGCTGGTAAGAGATTAAAACCACTGCATCACTGCTAGCAAGCTCCGTTTGTTTATGTTTGTGGCTGTTTCTGAACCACAGTCAATTGTTCAGTTGTAGGAAAGAGTAGGGCTGGATGATTCATCGGAAAGAAACAGAAATTCATCACCTTTAACTGATTAATTCCCCCTTTTTTAAGGTGCAGTATATAAGTTTGACACCCAGGTTGCCAGATTGAGGGCAGGAGCGAGTGATTTAAGTCATCTTGCACCTGATAGAAGGACAATTTTCCACATATAAAAGTTTTTGTGCCAACCAACACCTCAAATTGATATATTAGAAACGGCTTCTATTTCTCAGGTGAACAACAGAACTATGCCAATGATCACCTCAGGTGCGAGAAGGGGAAATGCCGATTTTGGAGGGACTATTTTGGCTAATAAGTGCAAAAAGCGCACTTCGTTGGAATAAGCTATTTGAGCAATTTCAGTCTATCACGTTTGATCAACGGAGACAACATAACTGTAGAGGGCACCTGACGGCAGCATGAGTGGTGTAGCTCATAAAGCGCATGGCTTCATGTTTTGATGCGATTGATCATCAACCTGGTTCGAATCCTTTTTTTTTCCCCATTACATATCGTATATACATACAGATTCTGTATATACATACAGATTAGATCTGTATATACATACAGATTAGAAATACGTTTATTTTTAATAGAAAGGAAATATTTTTGTTTAAAAATTAAATTGTAAAATAATATCACGAGTGGCTTGTGGGTATTTAATAATTCCATGTGTATAAATAGCATCTAAATAGTTTTTTTTTTAATATTCTATTTAAAATCTCTAGTTATTTTCCACCTGGTGTTAAATGTTAGCGACCTCTTAATATAACTAAATTGTATTTACAATGAATACCCTTTATTTTATATATTTTAGTACTGCTTCAGTGAACTTAAACAAGTATACTAAAAATATTAATTTTCCTTATAGTTTTATTAGTATTTTTTATCAAAGTGTGCTTTAGATGCTTTAAAGACAAATAAGATCTATAATTATATATGCACTATATAATTATTTATATTATATTATTCATATTTTTAATTTAACTATTAGGTTGCGGCCAGGTAAGGAGCTCTACAAGACAATGTGCACAGGGGCCTCTGAATTATTAATCCAGGCCTGATTGTATGGTTTGGAATTGGATGTTTCATGAAATTATTTACATGTTTTTTTGCGATTATCTTGTGTTTAATTAAGAATTTTGCAAGATCGCACAAACATTTGGGACTTTTTTGTTGATTTTGCGTTGTAATCTGTGATCGCGTAATTGCAAAAAAGGGGGTCTGATTAATTTTCCATCATATATGGTAAAATCTGTCTATAACCATAATATTTTAATGGTATTACTTCTTTTTAAAACCTGGCGCCCCCATGAATAGTGAACGTTTCTTTCATACTGCACATGCAAATATTAAAATCTGATCACAAATATGGCTGATTAACTACATATAGTTAGTTTGAGAAGTTTTTTTAATTGTTTCCTTAGTGAGATGTATTTAATTAATTTAATTGTATTTAATTTTGCCTTAAGAAGATAAAGGTTCTACTTAAAATTTATATTTATAACATGCAGTTTATTTACAATAAATAAATAAATAAATAAATAAACCTACAGAGAAAAGAAATATCTATAGAGAAAAAGAGTTTTAATGCTACAGTATAGGGCCCCATACATGGTATTGCTTAGGGCCCCCAAATTAATAAGTCTGCCCCTGATCGGGTTACAGCATGAGAATGGATTGTTTCACAGACAGTTTAGGGTGTCGTCCTCCCTGTAGACCCTGCAGATTTGTGTTGACTTCCCAGATTAACTCTGATTATTGACAAAGGAAATGAATGGGCCGGCAAGAACTGTGTAAACAAACAGCAGGCCAGCATATTGACCCACTGCTGTAGCTCTGGCCTGGAAAAAGGGAAACAGACGGGGGATCCTCAAACAGAACGGCATTGGTCAAATATTTAGAGAAGAGCCCATTAGGCCATCACGAGCACACAAATGAGCCCGACTCCCTCTGTTGCAAATGAATCATGATGAATCAATCCTCATGATTGCTGCGCAGGCACCGCTGATGACTGAGCGTCGCTTTTGTACACAACAACCGCCTCTTCCTATTGGTTATGATCTAAATGTTCGATGGCAAACGGGTAATTATTTACCCTTCAATATGATGGCGATGATAAAAAAGCTAATTAAAATGTTTCAATTGTTCTTTGTTTTCCGCATGGCTGATAAGCGATGCATTCTTGTGTAATGATACGGAATGATGAGCCACAGCTGCGTGCTGAGCCATAACTTTCTCTCTTTCTCTCTCGCCCTCTTCTCTTCACGCAGGCCTAAGTAACATCATCGGTATTATCGTGTATATATCCGCCAATTCGGGCGACCCCGGGCAGAGTGACTCCAAGAAGAGCTACTCATACGGATGGTCTTTCTACTTCGGCGCCCTGTCATTCATAATGGCCGAGATGGTGGGTGTGCTCGCCGTGCACATGTTCATCGAAAAACACCGAAAGCTGCGCGCCAAGTCTCGCACCGAGCTGATCAAGAAGTCGGCGTTCAGTCGCATCCCCAGCTACCGCTACCGATTCCGCCGGCGCTCCAGCTGCCGCTCCAGTGAACCTGCCTCTCGTGACGCTTCGCCCATGGGGAAAAGTGGCTACACAGGCCCTGCCGCAGCAGACATCTCCATGTACACCCTATCCAGGGATCCCTCCAAGGCGGCAATGGGTGCCTTGCTTAACTCCGAGAGGGAGTTTTTGCAGGCGCACAACTCCAACGCTAAGGACTTCAAAGATGCGGCCAACAGGAGGACCACTCCAGTCTGAAAGAGAGTATAAGCACAGAGAAAGTGCCAAGACCACAGACTTGAGCTGGAAGAAGAATTCACTCGAGGCCTGCAGGGCTATAACCCTCTTTCTATAACAGTATATATAAATATAGATGGTAATTGTTAGATCATTGGTGCTTCCTTTTAATCCTCATTTTTCAGTCACTGTTTTTTCTGTCGTTCCACTTGACTCACACACACACACAGATCCCTCCCCCTAAGGGCTACTGGAGTAGAATGCTAGTCCTCTCCTCAGTGTCCAATGGAGATCCTCAAGGTAGCCCAGCGAAACTGTGATGAAGCCCTCTGAGGGGGAGGATTGTAACGCATCTGACAGACGAACCGAAAGGCTGTCCCAATACTCGCCTTATGCACAGCTCAGTAGCCCATAGCTGGTGAGTGGCGCCTCACGCTCACAAGATTGTATACATTGTTGGTTTTTCTCCCCGGGTTGGAAACTTGTGCCACCTTCTCATGCTGATCACCCCACTCATCCCACCTACACGCTGCCCACTTGGCCGGGCCTTGCATGCCATTCACACAGATCCTTTATTTATTTATTTTTTTGTTTACTCCCATTGTTTCCATTGCAAACAGCCCCAGATTCCCCTGCATTAAGTTTTATAACAGGGTTAAAATGCTTGTTATTAAAATGATCTTTTAGCCCACCAAAGGTTTTTGGTATTACATTTGTTTCGTTTTAAATGTACTGAGAGGGTTTTTTTGTGATTTACAATGAGATACTATTAATATATATTAAAACACCTTAATATTAGGTTTATCGGAGGCCCTTACGCATATTAATATGGATATTGTGTTCATATTTTTGTTCATCTGTTATCAAAAGAAAAGCAGTTGGCTGCCAAATGTAAATTTCTTAATTGTGTATAGTTGAAGTATTTTTAGAGAAAATATTGTTCATACATTTACCATCAAGAGTTTATAGATATATATATATATATATTAAAAAAAATGTTTGAACATTATGAAAACAAAAGGAACTGCCCAGTGTATTTGAACCATTCGCATATCATGAAAAGACAAGCCTTGAAATGGACTGATATTCAGGTTCCAGTCCAAACACACAAACAACACAACAACAAACGCTACGAATGCTTACGAACATGCAGCATCTCTTTCAAAATATATACTACTCATCTACTATCTACATTAATGCTACATCCACGCTATACTGGACTACAAAATATAAACGTATACTGTACTTTAGTTGCTTAGTTAATATGAATATAAACTCCAAGGGCTTTTGGTTTTCAGATAAAAAGCATACAAGGGCTTTAAAGAATTTCAGCCAACCGAGAAAACAACTAATTTGCCCTTAAAATAGCTGAACCGAAAAGCATTTCTTTACCTTACGATATTAATTTATGCAAAACATATTCAAACGTGATGATATAATGTATACAAGTTTTCCTTTGCATTGTCACGATTATTAATCCCTGTGTCGGTTAGCTAGAAACGGAAGTAGATCCTGGAACATCTATAATAATGTAGGTTTCACCTCATTTCAGAATCCCCCAAGAGCTGACGTGCATGTACTTTAGCCTCCAGATTCATGCAAGCCAGATGCTCATCTCCAGTTTTATTTCATTCTGCTTATCGAAGTCATGCTAGCCTCACTGGGAATATTACTGTAAATGTTGCCTTTTGTTTGGATCCACTTTTTGTTGTGAAATTGTGCTGTTCTGGGTCCAAAACTTAAGTGTTTCATATTTGAAGGCGTCCGCCGGAGTGCTTTTGGCACAGCTGAACAGTTCAACCCTTCAAGTCTCTCTCAGAGCACCTAGTGCCTGTCTCTTCTGCCTACTCCGAGCGCCCGTCGCCGGGTCTCTCACTTTCGCTCGCTTTTGCTCCTTCATCTCCATCACTGCCTCGCATCAGCTCCTCTTTACCAGGACTGTTATTGCTCAGCAGATCACATCCATTGAGTTTTAGGCCCCGTCACTCACCACTTAGGCCTGCAACATTGTGTACGTGACCTCTCAATGAAAACAGCAGTCTCAGCTTGATACATGCTGTAGAAAAAAAGCACACCTTTTAAATACAGTAGTTTACATCAATAAAGATAATAGTCGGAGAGTATTTAAAGATTTAGACAAATAAAGTCCGTTTTAAGAATGCCAACGATGCACTCTTTGTCTTCTTCACAAAATGATTGTGCAAGCCGATCGGCAGATTTGAAATAAAGCAGTAATAAAGGAAATGATTGATCACAACTGCAGTGTTTTGGTTCGAAGTCAGGAATGGAAGGATATTAAAGTCCACATGAAATCAAAATGATCACAATTTACTTGATAAACCCACATTTTCAGGTCATATGGGTGCACGTTATTCAAAAGAAATGTCTAATCCATCAAAAGGTTATGTCTGTGGCAGATTTCTTTTCCTTTCAGCTAATGTCAACAACAGGACACAAAACTAATCAAATGACATTACAATTTTACCCAGCTACCAGTGACCAATGCTGTTTCCAACATTTTCATAGTGTAATAAACCAGTGGGCAGTTCATTCTGCAGTGGCAACCCCTGATAATTAAAGGGACTCATCCAAAAAGAAAATGAATGAATGAATAAATCACGTTTCTCAACCACATTCTTGGAGGACCGCCAGCTCTGCACTTTCTCCAGGTCTCCTTAACCAAACACACCTGACTCAGATCATTGGCTGTTTAGCAGAGACTGAAAGACCTGTATTGGGTGTGACAGACAAAGGAGACATCCAAAACATGAATTGTTGGTGGTCCTCCAGGAACGTGGTTGAGAAACACTATGTTTAAGTGGACACTAATAATCCAATAATCTCAATACGATTAGGACAATACTCTGATTAAAATCACCTTTCCAATGCACACGACATTTGGACATGACTGTCGGAATATGCCCCCGTGTGGCAGTCACACAGAATTTTCAGTTTTGTCATGCACCATGAGAGAGAAGATGATTTTCGTGCTGTCCAAAATAAAGGAGCCTTTATTCTCTGTGCGTTCTCCATGGTTAAATGAATGAACGATTACTAGAAACTAAAAGTTTTTGAGGGAATGTGGAGACAACATTAAAGAATTATATATTATTTTTATTGATAAAAAAAATTATATATTAATATATAAATGTTTTTATTACTCTTTTATGAATAGAAATGAGGTTTTAAACATTTTTTTTTCTGATTAAAAAAATAACAAAAGAAAAAACTACTAATTCTCATCTGGCGCACACGGACCTGCTTGGACAACACTGGAATAGTGTCACATGCAGTATAGTCGCATGAGGTCAAAAATGGTAACGTATCCGCAGCTCAAATAGGAATTTTCCACATACAGAGATGATCGGAACTCCACGCAGCTCCCCGACTACTCTCCATAGGAAGACTTCCGAAATGACTTCCGGTCTGTTGCTTGTCGTTTGTCGTGTGCAGTGAAAAAGCGGATTAAAGTCTACCATGTAAACAGCAATTATACAGTAATTAAGGTCATAATCGAACTGAACAGAAATCGAATTACGACATGTGGAGTATGCCGATTTTAGTCGCATTATTAAAATGGAATACAGACATGTAAACATGCAATCAAACTAATACAGTCATGTAGGATTTTTGCCACAATTTGCGAAAGGATCGTCTATACACACACACAGCTTTTTGATACTATTTTCTGCACCAACCATGTGAAGGACTACTGAAACCTGCTTCTTGAAATCCAAAGTTTTTTTTCCCCATACGGCGTGCAATATCAAATTCCATTAAAAGAACACTCTTTCAGCCGTTCATACTCGCATCCAGTATCTCACTTGTCACAGAGGGCATGCATGAACTTTTCCTGAGTGAAATTGAAAGTGCCAAACTGCAGTTAAAGTTGACAAAATAAAAATGAAACACCCAAAACTACATCAAATTCCAGAGGAAATGTGGTTAGCGTGGCCATGCATTGACCTTAATCGAATGATGTGCTCTATAACATGTAAAGCGGGATCATGAAAGAAACATTCAAAATGCAACTCATGTAAACACCATAATTATGTTATTGCCTTTTTCAGTTAAATGCAAATAATTCGATTTCTGATGTCCATGTAAATGTAGTCACTGTAATAATCTGATACCCCTGATCAATATTGCAGGAAGGAATATAATTAGCCATTTGACAGCTGATATAAACGGGTATAATCTCTGCTAAGTGTTGAGCATTCAACTGATATTAAACTAGGGGTGAAAATTGTTGCCCAAAAAAAGTTGTAAGCATGATAGATATTTTGTGTAGTATCATTTTTTTTTTTTTACTGTTGTGCAGTAGATTATGTTTAAACCAAATGGAGAAAATGGCTAGATACAAATACACTGAAAAAAAAGATGTGGTGGGCTAGCTGCCAAAAAATGCATTGTGGTCAGTGCCAACTCTTGTCCAGGTATATGAACTTTGACATATTGACATATGCTTTTCATTCAATCAGCAATCAGCATAAACTTACATCACTGTAATTCCTATTACAGCAAGTGTCCCCTATAATGAGTGTGTCTACTACACACACTACATGAATTACACAATGTTTTTCAGAATCATAAAGTGTTTATAAGAAAGTGGCTGGTGCATACGGAGAGGGAAAGAATGTCTCTTACTACTTTACTCTGAAGTAGGAGCTAATTTAGTTCCCCCAAATGGCATTCTCAAAATTAAAAACATTACAGTACCCTACCTGCACTGCATTTGGAAAAGTGGATACTTCTAGTTCCTCTGGTGTGAACGTACCTATCATGTAAAATAGATTGTTGATGCAATTTCATGTTAACAGTAACCGACAGCTCTAAGTATATCTGCAAAACAGCAATGTCATGATGTGTAACTATCACCATAGTACACTACCTGACAAAAGTCGTGTCTCCTATCCAAGTTTTAGGAACAACAGATAATAACTTGACTTCTAGTTAATCATTTGGTAGTAGAAGTGGCTTATATGAAAGGCAAAGGCCTCTGGATTACGCTTATTTAACCAAAATAAAATATGATCATGTCTTCATTTTTAATTATTGAATTAGGACAGTAAGGTCTGACTTTGCTTAGACAAAAGTCTTGTCATGTAACAGAAATAATGTCCAGTATAGAATATAAAGTCATGGTGCTATGGAAAAAGAATTAATTTCATGTATGACTCCCATGAGCTTGAAGGACTGCATCCATACAACTCGGCAATGACTTATAACTTAATAATAAAGTCATCTGGAATGGCAAAGAAAGAGTTCTTGCAGGATTCCCAGAGTTCATCAAGATTCTTTGGATTCATCTTCAATTCCTCCTCCTTTAGCTCAATAATGTTTATTTCTGGTGTCTGGGCTGGCCAATCCTGGAGCATCTTGACCTTCTTTGCTTTCAGGAACTTTGATGTGGAGGCTGAAGTATGCGAAGGAGCGCGATCCTGCTGAAGAATTTGCTCTCTCTGTGGTTTGTAATGTAATGGGAAGCACAAATGTCTTGATATCACAGGCTGTTGATGTGGCCATCCACGCCCATACTGAATGTAACCCCGAACCAGGATTTTTCCTTCACCAAATTTGACAGTGAGAATCTTGGGTCCATGCAGGTTCAAATAGGTCTTCTGGAGTATTAGTGATGTTTGGGATGCAGTTCAACAGATGATTCATCAGAAAATCTACCTTCTGCCACTTTTCCAAATGATCAACTAGAAGTCAAGCTATTATTTGTTTCTCTTATAACAGGGATCGACAACAAAACTTTTGTCAGGTAGTTTATGTGTGCCAACTAAAAATGCCCTTGCCACACACATGAGAAGATAAATCTTCAGGAGGAACCAGGAAAAACATTTAAAGCCCTTTCTCAATAAATGTCATTTATCATCAGAGACAACGGTAAAAAAGCTTCAAGAGTTCGGCAGGAAACGTTTAAGTGACTCGCATGCACACAAGGCACAGGTAAGACATTCATCTAACTCAAGTGCTTCTGACAAGAGGAATGAGTGAGAGCTATCTGGGCAGTTCATCAAGCCCCCCCAGAAGGCCAGGGAATTTAGTATGCCAGAGAGAGCACAGCTTACCAGCAGCTTGTGCTATAAAATCAATAGGAGCCCTGTCTGTGGCGTATGAGCTTCAGGCTGCACCTCTTCATCTTCAATAGGGCAGCGGTGCTTGATTTGGGCCAGAGTGAGACAGAGCTCAGACATCAGGCTGAAGACTCACAGACTGTGAAGCACATAGGACCTTCAGACTGCTAGAAAGCTGCACGTCTGTGACGAAAATCATCATCTGGATGTGGGGAAAAAAAGCTCAGCCGCGTGACTGTGAATACGAATATGCAGGTGGGATTTTTGGTCAGTGACATTACCTGAGGCGAGTCTCTTTAAGAGGTTGTTTTAAGGAAGAATGAGAGTCTGCTGCCCCGGGGTTGGTTCTTCATAGGGTTAAGCGGTTGTGCAGTAATGTTTTACTTCTCTATAGGACTTAAGTATCTGTACTTTATAGGAGAATAATTGTTTTAGGAAACTTTTACTTCACTACGTTCCGATACAAAATATTGTACTTTTTACTTTTGACTTTGTTGTATTGTACTTTTTACTTTCAGGTTCAATGAACCTGAGTAAAGTTATTTTGAAGAGGAGAACTCATCACATGCTTAGGGTTAAGACAGCAGTGTTTATTTCATGAACAAGCTGAATTTCATCAGTTGATTTGATTATTCAGTTTAAAAACTAAACTATTAAATTTGTGAATTGGACTACATCTGTAATGTTAGATCCATTTAGAATGAATTTCCAGTAAACAACTCACTGATTCAAATGATCTGTTCAGGGGTACGTTTCCCACACAACGACGTAACTTGTGGCTGAACTATCATAATACGGTGCATCGTTTGGGAAAAAAACGATGTAGTGACGAGTGTTTCCCAAAACCTTCGTCTTTGTCACAGATCCATCGTTTGAACCACATTAGTTATAACGTAAAACGCCCATAATGATACTCTAAACGGGGTGGTAACAACTTCTTTAGAGAAGAACCCCATCATTTCTGTGTGCAAATTACAGTATATTGTTTTACACACACATTTATTTAAAAAAAATCCAATATTAGTTTTGGTAAAAACATGCACTCGTTTTCCATATTAATTGAAATATATGTAAAAGACAAA